AAACCGTGTGAGCCGCGTCTCGAGTTTGTTGAGCGGGCCTGCGGTGTGCGAACTAAACGATGCCTACAGATTTTGACGGCCCCATGATGACTGACATTCCGGACGGCAGCATCGTGCAGCAGGTTATATCTACCAAAGGTACTGCTGTATGTATGTAGTTCACAAAATCTGCAGCAAGAATTGCTTGCAGCAGCAGCACAGCAACACAACAGCAGCAGCAGCACCACACGAACGACACCAGCAGCACCACCACCACCACACGCGGATAGACACACAGAGAGAGACGAGCACTCCCCAAGTGCGGGGCGTTGTGTGTGGTCGTGTCCTCTTGCTCGTCTGAGGCCTAGCGTCTCCTGGGCATCCCGGGTGTGAAGGGTGGCCTTGGCGTGATATGTGCCAGTATGGCAGTATGGCCTGTTGGGGCTGTTGCTGCAGGCGAGAGCTTCCGAGGACTACGGGCGTTAGATCCAGGCTCCGAGATAATTTTGAATTTGAGAGAGGGTGAGAACCTCTTCGGGGACGCTCTGGGCGGCTTCCCGGGGTTTCGACCCGTCTGGATGTTTGGACTGTGGTTCTCTTTTTCAATCCATGGATTGCAAATATTCGCCCCCTTTTTTAGCAAGTTGTCTTTGCCGGGGTCTCTATCAATATTGCTTTGGACAATTTGAATTTGGTCGCATATAGGCCACATCGTGGCAAGAGAGCGGCTTCGCTGTGGAACGGGACCGATCCGTACAAGAACGAGAGCTGTTTCGGGTGAGTTCCATGGAGGAGGCTTGTTGCGTGTGGAGACTGAGGTGATATGTGCATGTTCCGAACTTGCCCAAGAACGGAGAGATGAGAAATCAACAAGTTCCGGGTATCGTCCCCAACGCGGTCATCCGTCCCGAGAATCAGATGGAGAAAGATGCGCAAACGAACACGAACAGCATTATTCCTGATCGAACACTAGAGGCACATCTCTAATCAACACAACACTCTGCAGGCATTCCCACTGCATGTAGAGAGGAATGCTTCGTCGGAATGTAGTCTACCACTGCTCCTGCAGACGAACGGTCGCCATCAAATCAGGACGGCGCAACTTTTTCCTGTTATTGTATGTTATTTATGTTATCGTCTATCGGCACTACTGCACAACAGGTGCCCATTGAGTAGAGTGCTGCCCTGCATGCTGTGCTTGTTCTCGTGTATGAAGTTGGCGAGATTGCATGTAGGCGTGCGCCGCCTTTTTACGACAGGATGATAAAAGATGCCGTATACAGAACCCTATGTACCACCAAATTCCACCCAGATTTCAAATCAACGTTGTACTCTGTACGCTGATATACAGGTTTCCTGTGCGGGGTGCATAAAGTAACCTCCGCAGGCCTGTCTGATGTGTGTGTGTTTTCGTCCTATTTAGCCTTGCTGGGAGCTCGATGGACAACTGCTTGAGGACGTGTATTACCGGTGGTCCCACTGCGTAGAGGCTTAATTGGCGAGAGAGAGAGAGAGAGAGAGAGAGAGGCCTCGTGAGACAGCCACCAAGCAGCCAAGCAATGCCAGATGCCAAGTGTCAGTCCACAGGACGGAACTCCGAACAGGAACATGGCGGCGTTTCAGTTATTTTTCGGTTACGGTTTGTTGCCAATGTGCTGTCCGACTCTTTGGCTCTCCACACAAGAAGCGACGAACACGAAATGAAAGGCACTCGGAACCTATTTAAGGCAGGAGAAAACCGTCCCCACGAGCAAGCACGAATACCTACATCTCCGTACGTCCTGCCACGCAAAGATGTTCATGTACTAGACTAATATCGCAGGAGACAACAATAGCCTCGTCGAAAAGACGTAATAATAAAGCCAAAGACCCAAGGCTCATGTTGAGCATTGTGCAAGGGTTCACTCGGCGGCCTATCGGCGTCCTCGTCCTTGTCGTGAGGCTGGAAACGATTTGATGTTGTTCATCTGGAGTGAGGATGTGCTCCGCAAACGCATCACCGGTTGGCAGTTCCGCTCAGAACAGGGATGCGGGTTACGGCGGTACCCGTAATTACCCGTAACACCTTCCAGACGTACGTGACTAGTTCCATTCCACGTAACGTTTGCGGTAACTTGGGGGTTTGGGATTAATGTGGGGCAACGGGGCGACCCCCGACAGATTTAATACAAAAAAATAGTATCCAGAACATCATTTACCGCTGCTGCAGGTGGGAGAAGTTTGAAGCTTGAAGAACACAAGCATGTCTACCGCACGCAGTATTCACGTTTACACGTGTACGCGTCACGTAAACACGCGTACGCGTGTACACAAGGAAGACTCATGTCCACCCCTGAATCCCTTATCTCTACCTGCTGTCATCGCCTTTGAGTCCTACTTCTACGGTGTTTTACCCCATGCGGTGTTTAACGTCCCATACGGTTAGGGGTGCCAATCGGGGCGATTTTGACGGCAAAAAAGTGACCGGTCTATTCGAGGATTTTGAGAAAAAAAGGGGGGCACGCGGATTTTTGGTTCTCAACTCAGCTCTTGAAAATCATACGATTAAAGTATGCTCGTTCTTCCGAACTTTCGTTCAAGTGGCTCTGCGTCCAGGCAGCGGCGCGGCTCTTCATACTTTACACACATCTGGACACAGGTCCTACAGAGGTGACTGTGGATTCGCTTTTTTCGGAAGTTCAAAGGTCGGAGAGAACGGCTTGAAAAACATACATTTTTCAGATGAACGCCCCAGTGCCCGACGCTGTGGTGCGTACGTCGAAAAAGCAAATCCCCAGCGCACCTCCTTGGGTTTTGAGCCACCCCACGCAAAAGACCGATCGGGAGTCGCATCTACCAAGAACGAGTACCACTTAACAGAAAGTGGCCCGCCCCTCTACCTGGCTTTTTGCCCGCCAGCGGCCCCTCGCTCAAAAAAAAATCTCCGTAATCAGCCGTCATGTTTTCAGAACAGCTCAAGGAGCGCGAGCGTGTGATGTCCCAACGCCACCACCGCAGCACTCGAGGCTAGCCAGTTGTCTCAAGCGTGGTCGGCAGGCGCTAGTTGCATCTATAGCTGGCCCTGAGGCTTGTACACCGTTGCTCGAAAGGAGGATGTGTGACGGAAAAACCCTCCAGCGGCAGTTTTTCAACCGATTTTTGGGTCTGGGAGGGAGGATTTGTTTTGGGAGGAGGGTAAGGCCCACCATTGCGCATCCAAACGAACTCTAAAGATACCGAACAAGCATGCCATCCGCTCTCGGCGCGAGGATGAGTTAGGTTCCGCTAGGATGCGCGGTGAAAGCAAGTCCTGGTGCGTAGGAGAGAGCACGGGGCAAAGCAGGGCAAAAAAAAAA